ACTGCCCGGCCGGAGGCTTGTGCATCCGCCAGGACCGACTGCGTGCCCCTGCTGCTCAGCTTCGGCGCAAACCCCGAGGCTGTCTCTGAGGATGGCTACAAGCCCTTGCATCTCTGCAAGAGCCCAGAGTCCATCGAGTGAGTTCTGCCCAGCGGCACAGTGAGTCTCCCTCCCCATTGAGCCTCATTCCCTGTAGAAGGGGTCTCTGATCATCCCTCTGCGTGGGCTGGTGGTTGTGGCAATGGCTGCTGAATGAGGTGGCTTTACTACCTGTTCCTGGACCCAGGATCACCTCTGAAGTCCAACAGATGACTGCAAGCCCTAGCAATGATGGTTTGCATGGCAAAGCTCAGGGCGTGGGCTATGCAGTCAGTCATCTGTGGGCTGTGGGATCAGACTTAGGGGTGACAACACTTCAGTAAACTTCGGTGGAGTGTTAGCTAGAAATAGGATGACGGTATCTCAGCTCACCAGTCATCCTGGCTTAAAACAGCCTGGAGAAGATAAGACTCCAGGGAGAGTTCATAACCGCCTTCTGATACCCGAAGAGAACCTACAGAAATGCTGGGGAGGGACTTTTTACAAGAGTGTTCAGCGATAGGACAAGGGGAAATGGATTTAAATTGAAGGAGAATAGATTTACATTGGATCTTGGGAAGAAATTCTTCAGTGCAAGGGTGGCCTGACTCTGGAACAGATTGCCCAGAGAGGCTGTGGCTGCCCCCTCCCTGGAGATGTTCAAGGCCAGGTTGGATGAGCCCTGAGTAACCCGGGCTCGTTAAGGGCGTCCCTGCCCATGGCAGGGGTTGGGTTAGATGATCTCTGAGGTCCCTTCCAACCCAGGCATTTCTAGGATTCCATGAAACCATTGCTCCAGGGTATGAGGAGCAGGCATTTTGGGAGAAAATTCAAAGTGGTGGGATGGTACAGAAAATGGTGGGAGTTAGGATAGGAGCTGGAGAGGGGAGCCTATCCCTGAGCTGTCTTGGCCCACACAGATGTGTCCAGCAGCTGCTGCAGCATGGTGCCTGCGTGAACAGTCGGACCGAGGAGGAAGAGGACACAGCGCTGCACGTAGCAGCACGGCATGGCCTAGCAGATCACGTCCAGCTGCTGCTGCGCTACGGGGCAGAGCTGGAGGCAGAGAATGAGGAGGGGCAGACACCACTGAATGTTGCCTGTGCTCAGCCCCATCAGCCCTGGGACAGGGACCGCTACTTCCAGGTCTGCCAGCTGCTGGTGGAGCGCGGTGCCAGCATCAACGCTGCTGACCGGGACCGTCAGCACCCGCTTCACCTGGCCTGCAAGAATGCCAATGTCCAAGTAGCAGAGTTACTGCTGGCCCAGGGTGCAAACGTCAACGTCATGAACTACAGTGGCAACACGGCACTGCACAACATCCTGCAGGCAACTGCCTACAAGCTGGACCACCACCCCGAGCTCGTCGTGCGAGCCCTGCTCAACTATGGTGCCGTCCGCATCTGGCCCGGCTCCCTCCTCAAGGTACGGGGCCACAGTGGTGCTGGGAGCACGGTGGGAGGAGGAGGCTGTAGACATCGGGGCCCCAGTGACAGCCAGGATGGTTCTGTCACAGCAGGGCTTGTGCTGTGCCAGCCTGCCTGCTGTCCTGCCTTGCGCTTCCCAGGGGCGACGGGAGGGGGAATTGGCATTACCAATGAAGGGATTCCCTGAAGTTTTCTCCTTGGGGTATGTTCTCCTGCAGGACACTGCCGCTTCTGTCTGCAAAGCTGTGTGGACGGTACTTACCCGTTTCCCATAACCACTTGTCCTGGAAAGTGTTGGCCCTTTGCCTCTTGGCAGGTGTATATCCTCTTTGGGGCATACCCTCAGCTTGTGCTGTCTCTGCAAGACACCAGCAAGCAAAGGGTTAATTTTCTGTCTTAATTCCTGAGCAGTGCAATAATTACCCAGCCCGGAGATCAGCAGATTGCTCTCCCCTTTGGGAAAATACAGGAAAATCAACAATTAACACTAATTAATCTCCTATTAACGCCAGATAATGAGGATCACTCGTACAGCCGGAATAGACTCTGACAGCTACTGCTGGCCTGGGCCATGGGGAGTGGGAGCCAAGAGCCGGGAGGGCTCTGCCTCTGTGCCGCTACGCATGGGTGGGGTGTGCTCCAGAGGCCACACTGGTCGTGTAAGATACACGGCACCAGTGTCGCTTGCACCTGCATGGACACGGTACACACCGAGGATGTGTTGCACGAAGTAGGTGTGATGCCTTCCTGGGGCTGTGCGTAGCAGCCAACACGGGCACAGTACTTCTCTGGGCACCTGTTGCACAGACGCGGGTTGTGTCTGCAGCCCAACGGGCACAACCCATCCCTGAGACCCCTCAGCGGAGGTCGGCATGGTGTGCCTTGGTCTCGCTGCACACAGAGTGGGTGTCAGTCCTTGCCCCAGAGCAGCTTATGCTCTAACTAGAAAAATGTGAGGAGCGGAGCCTGGCGTGCAGCTGAGTATTGGTTGCTTATGAACTGCTTGCAGCAGTGAGGCAGACGAAGGAGATCGGCCTCCCAGCCACGTATGTTAGTCCCCGCATCCGAGGAGAGGCTGGGGGGGAGAGGCTGTGGGGCCCCGGCGGTGCTGAACACAACCATGCTGTGCGCCTTGGCTCAGCCACCTTCTTTGCAGGAGGGGTGCTCCGGCATTTCCCACCACCAGCAGGTTTCATCTCTTAGCACAGCATGAGGCAAGAGCGTTGGTTCCCTAGATTTACCAAGTCCGGTTTCGCGTGGCTTTTTGGGAGGTGCAGGTGGGGCGTGCAGGGCCCTGGTAGGGCAGTGCTCAGCACTCTCTCCCTGGCACAGGTGCTGCGGTACTGCCACACCTGCCCGCGCGTCATTGAGGCCCTGGTGAACAGCTACGCCCACGTGCGCATCTCCCGGGACTGGGCAGAAGCGGTTCCAGTGGAGGTTGTGCAGGTGAGGGAATGCCGGAGGGAATGCTCAGCCCTGGGGAGGCCTCACCTCGAGCCCTGTGTGCAGGTCTGGGCCCCTCCCTACCA